AAAATTGTCGATTTACGCCCTAATGAATGTCTTTCATTTCGGCAAACATTTCCAGAGCCAATATTACAGTTCCCTTATTTCTCCATTGACATATAACGTTCAGGTTGCGTGATCGACCTGATCCCAGTTGACCTTTTAAGGAAAATACAAGAATTAAAGGCTTTGAAACCTTAGATACATACTAAATCCTGTAAGATTTATTTCCTTGTAAATGATCATCTAGTATAGGGGGCTTGCAAAGCTGCGGCATTTTAAGACCTTGCGAAGACTAGCTTATGTTGGTCAGTGACCTGGTCTGGCCTAAAATTCGGGCTTTGTGTCATAAGATCCGACCTAATCAAAGGTCGGGAGTGCTAACTTTTATCTTGCTATCGGCAGCGCGTTCAAAAAAAAAAAAAATCTAGATAAAGATCATCGCCTCCCCCCCCCGCCCCCGGACAGCTCCCGTCCCTTCTCTCGGCCGAGCGTCCTTTCCCTTTTTGTAAGTCCTAGCATAATCACGAATATTATATCACAGGTTGTGAAGGTAATACATCCGCTCCGCTATACGCACTATCCACCATCCCGTTCTGCGCTCCCCTTCCGCTCCACACACATCAGCACAGCTACAAGTCAGTCGGGCTAGCGCTATCCTCCCCTCCCTTCCTGACTGCACAGCGCTAAAACCCAGAGCCGAGACTTCCCGAGCGCGACCTCTGACCCCACGCGGTCCAAAGGGTCAGCCGGTGCCTATGGGCACGCTGCGCGCCGGCCACCCGGATAGCCTCTGCTGAGTCTCCCTTTCATGCTCCGCTTACTACGCGCTCGACTCATTCATGATTCTGTGTTTCTCCGTCCCTCTCGCTAGGTGGCACCACGGATGTCATAGGCGATTCCAGGAAGACTGCTGCCAGAATGCACAGTGGGGATTTCTCCGATCTAGCACGTCTTTATTCGTAGAGGGCAAACCATAAGTAGCATTGCAGCCAGATTGTGCACAGATGTTGGCTGGTGTGTCCTGGTGAGAATTTAACCTGTAAATTTGCATAATCAACATAGTATAGGGGGTTCAATTGGACCCCCGGCTCAGCCGTTTGGCCCCTGAGCAAGCTAGAGCTTCGCGGAAAAATCAAGCGTGCTGCCTATGACGAAATGAGGCCGAATATATCCAATTTCAAAGTCCAAGGTCATTAGTTGACTTCCCAAGTCAGTTTAATGACCCAACTAAAGTTGGGAAATCGAGACCTCTTGAAACTTCGCAAAGTTAGGGTGCTACGGAGTATTTTGGGGTGCTGATCACGAATTTCATGTTAGTTTTGATCACAGACGATGTCTTTATGCATTTAGGCCAGGTCGGGTCAGCCGTCAGGTCAGGTTAGATCAACCAGTAGGCGTCTTGCCGGCCATCCATAGTAGGTGTCACCTACTGAGAACATGGTACGAAGACATGGTACGAAGAACATGGTTTCGCCAGCTTCGTAACATGGCACGAAGGCACCAGAACTACTTCGTAAATATTCAATTGGCTGCTAAATTCGAAATCAGCACTAAAAACTACCCTAGAAACAAGTAAAACTCGAAAAAGTGAACCAAGGTCATCAAAAGGTCAATGACCTTGACTTGACCTTCACGTGACCTTGACACCCACCATAATGCATGGCACCAACATCATTTCACATATTTGAACGTTTAAAACCACAAATATACTGGAAACCGCGGATAATGTGAGCTGGGATACGCCGAATCGCGATTCCGGCCAAACTAGGTCTCGAGAAATATGCCACAGGTCAAAGGTCAGTTGGGTCGGAGTCATGAAATTTTCAAGTTAGATGTAAAATTGATGATCTGGAGGGCACCGAAGGTTTCGTCGCGATCGGCCGCTTTTTGCGCGAGTAATTTGCGGAAAACCATAGGGTTTTATCCGACCCCTTCACCCTCCCCCTCCCCACAAGTGCGATGGTTAATAAGGTTACGGTATGTATAATTTACGCTTGTCATCCTATTCCTAATGAATGTGTCTCAGAGAATATGCATCATATAAATCACGAAGTAAAATTATTCGCCTATGTCCGGAACATACCTATATCGTGCTGTTTGCCCTAGCCCGTGCGGGGCTGGGGTCTCCAGCCGAACGCGCGGGGCTGGGGGGTAAATTTTACCCCCCCCCCTGTTATCTCCCGAACTAATGGTCCGATTTAGAAAATTCAAACGCCAATCGAAAGATCTCATGACGAACAACTAGAAACATGTACTTAATTTAAAGTTTGAGGTCAAGGTCAAGGTCAGGTCAAGGGTACGAATTGCAAGTGTTTACAGTATCGGCCTTGCACCGTAGTTGCCGAAGAATGGAGTCATGGACTGAGACTGATTGCCCAAAACGTGTTCTTAGGCTACCAAGACAATATTCGTTGCATACAATATCATTCAGAGGTCAAGGTCAAGGTCAGGTCAGGTCAGGTCAGGTCACCAAAAACAAAATATAGAAAAGGGCATGTGCGACACATGTTTTATGGGTCATTTTACTCATAGAATTCAATAGGCACACTCAATAAGTGATATGGACCACCTCTGGATGACTTTCAGGTCGAGGTCAGGTCAAGGTCAGGTCAAGTGAGGTCAAGTTTTGAAGTTGGTTGTTAAGGCCTAAAAAGGTGTCTATCTGATGCAGTTTCTCACGGCGAATCGAATGGTGCTATTTTTGTTTCCGGACGAGGTCTAGAACTTCCAAAAAATCATTTTTTTTCAAAATTTTTGTGTGTCCTGACGTCATACAATTTTGAATAACTCCCACATTTTTGAACCGATTCTCTAAAAATTGGTATGTAGGTGCACATAGACCACTTCTCTGACATATATTCCGGTTTTTTCGATACACTCAAAATTTTGGATTTTATAATTATTTTCCCAAAAAAGTCAGTTTTTCGAAAAAATTTGGGCCAAATTCCAAACTTTTCAAAAAACCGAGATAGCCATTTGATAGACAAAATAGAATTACGTATAACCTTTTTTGTTACGTCTTGATGCCTTTAAAAATGAAGATGTTAGCGGCGTTTGAAATTTTGCCGTTTATGAGGCGAAAATGGCGAACATGACGTCACTAAAACGTCAATTTCTCAAAAAGTTTCCGACGGATTTCGCTCAAATTTTCAGAGAATGTGTCAAATTAATGTAAGAAAAGGTACTCAAAGTTTGAGATATTGCAAATATTCGCGAGGGGAGGGGGTAATATTTACCCCCCAGCCCCGCGCGGGCTAGCGCTCCTCGAGTGGGGTGCTAAGATACTCTAATGTGAATATTCCGTGTTCAGGCAAGTTTCGGCAGCCAAACTAGGCGTTGTCTTGTGCAGGAGAAAGTAGCGAATTCGATAGGATATATTTCGGAGTGGATAAGTGTGGAGAACATTGTTGATTTCCTACATTTATTTAGTATACCACTAGGGTTACCCGCGTGCTCCGCAACGCGAAGGGGGATTTTTTGACCCGTGGGTATTGGGTTGGTCTGTGTCGATTTGGTTGGTAGATATCCATTTCGTTCGATTGCTTTTTGACGGCCAAGCATTTTGTAAGAAACAAAAAGATACATCGCATCGAGGTGCCCGTGTCGTATTATCATGCGTTCTACTTTAGAATGATTCGAAAACTGACGTGAAGTCTTTTGAGGGCCATCGATGAATTTCGCTAAAAATGACAATGTAATGGTTTGGAACATTTACATTTTTAAGGATACTGTTGCTAATCATGCAAAAATGAAGAGTGAATATTGGACAGAATTGAATGCTCTATCCAATGGTACCATATTCAATTGCCAAAGGTATCAGGTTATGCAGCAAACCCCGTGTGATTAATAAAGTGGCACAAAATTGACAAACACCATTTTCTCCTGTGATTTGCACCACCTTGATTTGGATCAATCAGCTTTTCACAATTTTTATATGAGAGGCGGTACCTTTCTCTTGCAAATAAGCGTTGATTCAACTCGCTCCATTTAACGGTCACCTAAAAATAAAATTAATTCCAAAATCCCTCAAAAACCGCAATTTTTCAAATAAAAGTGCCCTCTCCGGTGCACGTGGCGCGTGCTATCCTCTGCATTGCACACCATTCAATAGCCCGTTCAATTCTGTACACGATGCTGTTTTCCCCGTGCCGGTCGGACCCCTGGTCACCAAGATATTGCACGGGAACTGGACCCGTGTCGGCCAATATTAGCCGTTTTCGCCCGATTTTGCAAGCCGATTTATACATGTAAAGTCTATGACGCGAATTTGCACTTTTTGAGCACGCGCCACGCGCTCCCTATCGACCCGATCGAGCTGAGACCCCCCAAAGGCACGTCGCGCATCCTTGATCTATAAGTTGTGCAAATTTCACCGGGCTAGGTGCAACGGTCTGGCCTGTAGTCCACGCAAAGCACCACCAAGTCGGGACCTCGGTAACGGACAGACGCACCCTCCTCAAATAGTGATATAGATTCCTTCAATATGGTGTCTGTAAGGTTTTTTTTGTAAATGACATTTTTGTGACCTTAGTAAGGTTGTGGATGGTTGTGGCATACTTTCTGTTTGCCATTCCATTCCTAATAAAGGTGCCTTTCAGAAGATATGCAACTTTATGACCTCGCAAGCTTAAAACCAACAGGACAGGACAATGAAATTGAGCTATACTTTCGGGCCTTGCTGAGCCAATTGAGTAATCACCCATGAGTGTGAACTTTGGGAGCATTTTTCCTAGTTTTGCTGTGGACATATAGATAAAACAATGCCATATATGAAAAATTCAGACATTTCTGAACCCCACTGACACAAAAAATAAACAAAAATCCAAAAAAAGATTTTTGGAATTAAGAGGCGCTAGATCGGAAAAATCCCCAATGTGGAATGCCCCAAACGGCAGAAAATGAGGATTTTGCTAAATATCTCAGAAAGTATTTGGCTTACGACGATGCAATTTCAGTGTCGTGACAAATGTGCATACCCACAAGTTGGGTTAGGTAATACTTATGCATTTGCGCGTGATATAAGACCAGATGTAAGCTAAAAAGCAAAACCAACCACTGTTTTACAGGAGAGCCGTACCTCGGATTGAAAAACACTTCAAAAGGCGCAGATAGAAGACGATTTAAAGTACAAGATAGCATCTCGCTTTTTTCCGTGTGTGGCCATCTTTCTTCATAAACCCTTCTCAAATATAGTTAATTTAGCATTAAAGTCTATGGATTTAGTAGAATTTTCATATCCGACTAAATTTGAGCTACCATCTCTGTTGACCGGGGGCCGGAAAAACCGATTCGACGCATAAAACGCACGTGATAAAAACGCAAAGTGTAGACAGTCCTTAAGGCTCAAAATGAGCGTAATGTGCTTAATAAATCGACTGGAATGGGAATCGTATGGCAGGTATATTTGTGATTGTTTAGAGTACATTAATGCTGAACTTCTTTTTAAGCAAGCATGACACTAATGGTTGTTCTACTGTGTAACGCGTGCCTACTTCGTAATATGAGCGAATAGCAGTACTCTACAAATCGCACTGGACCATGCCGGCCTGGTAAGCCATCGGATTACGCCTGTCATGCGTTGAGCCCGGCCACAGGCGTACAGCAGCACAACATGAAGAGCGGCGGCCGCGGCTGCCACTAGAGCAGCACCTCGCTGGGCCAAGCCGCCGCCGCCGCCCCCTATCAAATGGCCGTCTGGTGACGGGCCGGCAGCTCTGACAGCTCGTGCGCCTGGCTGCGGTTGGGCTGGCCCGCCAGTGTGTTGTTGTTGCCGTTGGGGGTGCACCGTGGCCGGCCCAGCAGCGGACAGTGACTGTTTGTGTCCGAGTCGGACGCGTTGGCCGGTTCGTCGATGACAGGCCGCCGGCCGCCGCCATTGTTGTTGTCCTTTGTGATGTGGTTGGCGGTTGGCGGTGCCGCGCTGGCTGCAGTCTCGGCGCGATCCACCGCCGCTGCCTCGCACTGCAACACCTTTATCTTTTGAATCATTTCTCGGATCTCACAGCGCAACAGGCCTAGGAAGCAGAGCTTGAGGAACGCTATCACACAGTAGCCGAGCACGAAGAGAAGGTCTGCGCTGCGCTGGTACCAGCCCATAAGCAGCCGTCGACAGCCGCGTCCGTACGGAGCCGACTGCCGGCCGCCGGCAGCGGCCACACAAGTGCCGTTGTATGGAGGTAGCGGCGTGGTGGGCGGCGGCTCAAGCGTCGGTGGCGGTCGCTGCAGGAAGCGCGCGCTCCACTTCCTGGAGCGGTACGCGGCGGCCTTGGGCGGTGGCGCGGCGGCCGGACGGCCCGGACAGCACGAGGCTGGCAGCAGCTCGGTGCCCGCGTCGGCGCCGTCTCTGACGCCGTTCCGCCACCTCCAGGCAGATGCATTGAAGTCGGCGGGCGATTCGAGTCCGCAGCACCGCTCCGACCACTGGACGTGGTCCCAGAGCGCCGTGAACTCGGCCTGCACGCCGTACTCGTTGGCCAGTCTGCGCGACAGTTGGCCGGGGAGCTCGGCACAGAGCCGCTGGAAGCGCACCACCCACACAGTGCCCACGGCCAGGTCGCCGCACAGCAGCAACAGTAGCAGCAGCCAATAGACGTTCAGCAGCCGCTCGTTAAGCCGCAGCGCACCCACGCAGCCGATCACTTGGACCACGCCTCCCTGCAGCACCGTTGCCGCGTACGCGTACAGGAACGTCGGCTGGTAGTACCGCACACCACTCACCAGCGACATGCGCGCGTCACTGAAGATGGAGCTGCCGACGGCGACAAACAGTAGCACCGACACCAGGAGCACCAGGTTGCACGCGTATATCCATAGCCGGTAGTAGCGCATTGCCTTCATACGAAACATGCCGGCGACGGCGTAACGTCAGCGTGTGGAGCTACGCGCCGGGTGCTCATGGGCGCCTGTCCGCGCCACCACACTAGGCGCCAGGCAGCCACAAAACGGGCTGCTCTGGTGTGAGACGTTACGGACCGTGCCGCATGTGATACCACCCACAGATGACGCCACGCAGGTGAGCTCTCTGATCTGTGGAAAAAAAAGAACAGTCGTGAGAAACATTAAAGAGACACTAGTGCTGTTAACAAGTTGATTCATAGTCGTGTGACCTATCTATTTGGTCTCTCTCACTGAACTCTATAATGTGGAAGGCGCATCGGCCGCCAAATGGTGTCCAACGGTGCCGCCATGTTGCGCAGACCAGAAAGCGGCCGCCGCCTGTGCTGGGGAATAGGGAATTCGGGACCTCGATTTACGTTTGCGGCCGCTGCATCCGTTACGTTCAAGCTATGTAGACACGGAACCCGGCATTTTACGCAGAATTGAGTGGAGAACAAGATGAAAACTTAACCAATCCTCAGATACAGGGAACTTATACGTTAAACCCTTATAAGTCAATTGGGACATATGGAAATTGCTATTTTGGCGCCGAGAATGATCTGAAACTATCTCAGGCATATAAAATCGTGATTTCATGCACTCTTTGCAAGGCCCGATGCTTCACATTTGCATTGTTGCCCTTGCATGACGTCATTTGTGACGTCACAAGGGTCATAAGCTTTTCTTCAATAACTCCCGATCAAATTGAGCTAGTGAATCGGGAAAGCCACAAATGGAGTCAGAAAGACCTGCCGAATCGAATGTCTTTTTTACTACGCTTTGAGACCAAGACAAGACACCTGCGTGTGGTATTTAACCCCAAAAAGGTTTTCACATACCCTTACAAAAGGGCGTTTTGCCCCACACCCTGGGTAATACCAGCATCTGCGATGCTGGGCTCCGCATCGCGGGACCGCAGGTTGTTTGAGCAAGCACCTCTGTAACGCCGCAAAAACGCCCGCCGCCAAACGAGAGGATGAGCCTTGCACGTGCAGACCGGAATGGGTGTGCTACGAACTGACATGCACTGCACTCTACTAACCGGTCTCTAGCGGTGTGTAACGCCGCAAAAACGCCTGCCGCCAAACGAGAGGATGAGCCTTGCACGTGCAGACAGTTTGTTTTCAACATGTCGGCTGTCGTGAGAGCCTGCAGTCAGCTGTTGCGAAACCTCTACGCAGAAATATAGTATCCTTTTTAGCCCAACACGATAGGGGAAATGTGGGGAATCGGGGTTTTGGGTGGGGGAAGGGGAATATTTTTACATGACGGTGATTTTTGAAAAAAAATATTGGTTGCTAAACAACAATTCAACTTTTGCTTTTAATGAGATAGTGCTGGACCTGGTAGTGCTGGTAGCACTTTATTCTGATAATTGATATTTATGTAATCGGCAAGCTTTGCGCCGATTAAAGTTTAACTGTTTCACCGCGGAGAGGAGCCCGGTGACCATGTCACCATATGATGTCTGGACAGCAATTTAATTCAACGGTTTTGCGCGTGATCGTCTGCTAATCAATTGTTGCTTCAGAGTGCCAGCTCCTTGGCCCGTACTGCCAGATCCGGCTCTCCCTTCTCCAGCAGCCGCATGCTGGTACTATTCAATCTCTTTTGGACTCAGACGGGCGAGTCGGGAGAGCTCCATATTCAGTTCGTCGTGTCCGTCATCATCAATCTGCAGCTTTGTCTAAAACGGTTCCACATGTGTGCACCAAGAGCATCTGATAGTGTCGAGCCGCATGCATGTTGAAGGTGTCACCAAGCTTCAACTTTATAGGGCAATCACGAATCCATGCTCCTTTGATACAAATGAATTTTCACTTGCAATGTAGTCCCAAGAAAATGCACTTCACACAAAACAGGTTTACGAGGAAGCATTCGGTTGTCAGATCATTTTTGTAGGTACTGCTTTGTTCCTGCATCGTCTATCGTGTGGTCTCGCTTCAATGTTAGATTGTTTTCCTCAAATATCCAAGATATTTCACTTTCTTACAAAGGTGATTTTTGCCCTTTTTGATGAACCACAGCTGTTTATTTTCTTTCCCAGTCTTCATGACAAGCACAATTCTGGATCATTTTTTATCGCTTGCCAAACGCGCGTAACGACTAGGCTGAACCCACGCTGACTTTCCGTTATTCATAGGAATGGATATTTAGGAACTTGAAATAAATTAAAAAAAATATACAATTTGAACCATGGGTGGAGCTTTTCCAGGAAAGTTGGTGGGGCAAAAAGTTGTCAAACCTACAATGTCCGATTGTTAAGTTAGATAAAATTCAACAATGAATCAATTCTTTTCATTACAGAGATAATATTTTGCATAGTATTACACATAGCATAGTACAGCATAGTATTACACAGACATTTCAAAGCTCCTCAATGCGAAAAACATAGGTTTGCTAAGCAGTAAAGTCCTGCAAATCGGCTTAAGTTGGTGGGGAAAAACGTTTATTGGTGGGGCAAAATGGCAAGTTGGTGGGGCAGGCGCCCCACCAAGTGAATAGGAAGCTCCACCCCTGATTTGAACTATAAATAAGACCAAAGGAACTATATTTAGTCAATTCAACGCCAACAGCATTTTGATTTAAATGCCGTCGCAGCGCCAGAACACGGTAAAAATCAAAAATGATATAAAAATATCCTGCTTCACGTGATTTATCAATCTGCTCTACTACTTCATCCAGTTTGACCAAATCTGTCAGGATGTGACTTAGACTGTCACGTTCTCAACGTGACTCATATGTACCTCTGCAAAAACGATTTTTAGCATGATCCGACTCAGAAATGTTCATAGATCATGTTTGTATATGTTTTAGTGCTTGTTGGAGGATCATTATTAACCCGCGCCCGGCTGGGGGTCGTGGATTTCCACGCCCTGCTGGGGGGGTGTTTGAACATCCCCCTTCTAACTCTGCTCCTGGTGCCACGAAGCGATACGCGGAAGGCGGCGTTCGAAAGAGCGTTAAAAATAATGACGAAATCACTTCTGTCAATTTTTTGGTCAGGTCAAAGGTCAGGTCACCAGAGGTCATTGAAGGCAAAATTTCGCCGATTTCCAGGTCGAATGTCGACAATTTCCAAGAAGCCAACGCATAACTCGGGAACCAATAGAGCTACAGCGCCGCGGAAAAGCGCATTCGATAGCCCTATTAACGCCCTTTCTGAGGAATTTTCTCAGATTTGACCTAACGTCAACAGTTTTGCCTGCAGGGGGCAAAAACCGCAAAAATAGCCGATTTTTTCGGAAACAGTTTTTCTGCAATAACTTTTGACCCAAGCCTTGTACGAGCTTATTTTTACCGGCATCGTGTTCCTGTTGTCAAGACGCATCGAATGAACTATAACTTGACCTTGAAAGGTCACCTTCAAAATTTGACCTCAGGTCAAGGTCATGACCTGACCGGAAAGGGTCATGTTGCATATCAGTCAATCCGTATCGTTGAGCTGAACACACCTAAGGCGTTTTCATCGCTCTAGCATGCCTCTATCAAAAGTTATTTGCGAAAAACTGTTAGATACCATTCGTGACCTAAGATGACCTCAGGGCATAAACAGGGGTCACGGACACCATTTTCATGTTCAGTGTGTCTAAACCACTTGCAATTCAGTGTTTGGGAGTGTTTATAATGTCTTACGCCCAAAAGAGGCGCATTTCAATTTTCTCCCATTGACTTATAATGGGGAGGGCCATAATTATATTGTTTTAGCGTTTTCAAATATATCGGCCACAGGCCTTCATCAGTGAAGTATCCAAAAGAACACTTAAGCATCTTTTTTCCGATTGCCGCATTTCAAAATATCTTTTTAAAGGTCGTTCGTGCTACGTTGCCTGATCCTACCACTATGGACAGACACAGTTCACAAATGTAGCATTGGCGATAAATCGCAGCGGTTCCTATATATGCACATCACAATCGGTATGTGTACATGTATCACTGTCTATCAATAACATTGAGCGTGTGGTGCAGCCCTCTGCAAACTGCGTGTTAGGTATTCTTTCTTCGTCAAAATCGAGAACAACGCGGATACTATGCTATCGGTCACTCGGAAATCATAACAGTAAGACGCGCGAGACTTCGCACCTTAGATTGGCATTACCATCGCATTCATTTTCCATCCAGTTTGGCAACAAAACCCAAAAGTTTATATTTGCCCCCAAAACAAACTTTTGCATTTTGTTGCCACACAAGGCATCCTATACTTTGTTTAGTGATATACCCAATCGAAGGAGTAGAGCATGGCGCCTCTATTTTCAGTGAGTTCCGACCGACTGACAACATAGTCTTTGAGTTATTACTGGTTTTGTCGAAAAAAAAGAATACCTACCACGCAGTCTGCTGAGGGCTGTACCTGGCAAATATCGTTCGAGATAGTGGACATAATCCATACAAAATACAAGAAACCTATATACTATCGAGCGGATTTTGAAACAGCTCTGAAATTGTTTCCAATCGTAAACTTAAACATATCATAGTATAAATGCAGATAAGAACTTTTTCGGCATAGAATACGTTTCAATGTCTAAGTTCCCGGCCTCGGCTCTATCTCCCTCTTTTTCGCTTTTATCTCTCTCTCTCTCTCTCTCTCTCTCTCTCTCTCTCTCTCTCTCTCTCTCTCTCTCTCTCTCTCTCTCTCTCTCTCTCTCTCTCTCTCTCTCTCTCTCTCTCTCTCTCTATCGCTCTCTCTCTCTCTTTCTTTCTTTCTTTCTCTTTCTCTCTCTCTCTCACTCTCTCCATAACTCTCACTTTCTCTCACTCCCTCGCTTTTTTCCTCTTTCTGGATGTCATACAAATGCTCCCACATGCACTTACACCACCAGACATATAACTTACACACAGACATTAGTCAGATATGTCGATGACTACGCGGGTATCTGGACCCATGGTGAGCAAGCTTTGCTAGATTTTGTGGCTCACATGAACACGGTACACGAGACTGTCAAGTTCACCCTTGAGGTTTCCAAAGAGGGATCAGGGGTTCCATTTTTAGACACTCTTAGTCACAATCGAAGAAAGCAATGGCAGGAAGAGCATAGAAACAGAGCTGTACAGTCTGTCTTAAAAGTACCGCGCAAAGTGACGGTGGATCCATCGAGCCTGACTGAGGAAGGGCCTGCTAAATTTGGGTCACCGAAGCAATTGACATCCTC